GGGCCGCGGGGGCGGGGGGAGGCAGCTCGGGCCAGCCTCCGCCCCACCCCATCACTCCTGGGGACTGCGCCTGCCCACGCTCCCGCCCTGGCCTGAGCTGGGTCTGCTCCAGAACTTCAGCTAGGGGGAGAGCCTCCGCGGCAAGGCCTCTTTGTGGAAGAAGGAAATCAACAGGGGCATGCCCACCTTGGGGGAGGCTCTCTGAAAGGTCAGAGAGGAAAAAAGCTGGAGACAGCTTCGCCCAGCGTGGCACTCTCCCGGGATCCTGTTCACATCATGTAACTACACGCGGAAGTGATCCTTCCCCGCGTGCACACACTGAGAGTGCACGTGGGCGGGATCGCCGCCCGTGTACACATCATGTCACTACAAAGAGGCAGTCAGTCAAAAGACAAATGGACCAATCAGGTTTATTCATAAAGCAAATCCAAAAAAAAAATCCCATTATAATTTTGGAACTTAAAAAAAGTCTCTCGTACAAGATGGCAAAGCATTTCACGTACAGTGCGTTTCTCGACAATCCCAGGGGCTTCGCTCCCTGATTTACTCTGAACCAGAAAGGCCAGTTACCAAGGTAACTCTGACACCGTGTGACTGGGGCCGCGGCCTCTCTGGGGTCTGGGTCTGCCTGGCATGTGGGGGCGTGTCTGCAGGCACACACGTGTGCTCACAGACATGCCTGGTCCTGCCTCCTGTTCTGGTCGGCCCCCGTCTTCCTTCCCAAGGGTCTGAGGAGGGAGGGCCTTGGGAAGAGGGGATGGGAACAGTATGGAGTGGGGTGAGGGGTGGAAGTTGGGCTCACAGGACCCGGCATGAATTTTCCTCCAAGGGAAACGGTGAGTCCTCCCAGGTGGCGCCCCCACCTGGAGGAAGCGAGGACTCTGTGGCCAACACATGTAGATACCCGTGGAGATATCTACAGCCTGCTATTCTGGCCTGGGGAGGGGCCAAAGGGGGTGCCCCCCTCTCTGCTTCTGCCTCCACGGAGATGGTGCAACTGAGACCCCTCCTCTGGCCTGCAGCCCCCATGCCCCTGGGCTCCCAGCTCGCACACGTTGAAGGAGCTCAAAGTCTGGGCTGGGTTTTCCTGCAGGAAGCAAGGAGCATCCCTCAGGGTCCTTGGAGGGATGAGAGCGGGGCACCTCTGCTTCCCTGGGGGGTGCCCAGGACACCCCGGGCCTACCTCTGTGTTCTGGGAATAAGCCTGGCCTCCCTGGGCTCTGCGTGTATCTGTGGTTTAAGGTGCTCTGAGGAACAATGGTATTCTCCCTCCCCAGCTCCAGAGGGGAGGCCGGAAAAGAGAAACTGAGGAGGGGCCAACTGTCAAAATCCAGGGAACCCATGAAAAAGGCCAGAGGTGCAAGTTCACCCAAGACTTGGCACCCCCTACCCCTGCCTGGGGCTGGCAGCTAGGAGCCTCAACTCCCCCTTACTTTCCACAAGGCTGGGGGCCCTTCCTGCCTTGGCCTGGCCCCCCCAGGCTCCCACTAGACCCACAGGCCTGTGATGATGAAATGGCAGCATGGCAGCGTCTCGGGGATGGTTTCCAGGCTTTGAAATGGGCTGAGATGAGCGTCTGCGAGAGGGTCATTTTTTTAAAACTTTGGAGCAAGGAGAACCTGGTGGCCGGGCCTCAGCCAGCAGGCTGGCTTCTCTGCCCTGGTCTCCGGGCGCCGCCGACGTACTTACTGTTCACACCAGCAGCGGGCGCCAGGGGGCGCGCACGGGGCTGGGGTGGGTGGGGGTTTGCTGGGCATGTCCTCGGCTTTAGCCCGGAGGGGTCTGCCCAGTGGGGACTCAGGGGAAACCGTCCAGGGCTAAGCGGGGACAGTCTGTGAGAGACACGAGCAGAGCACAGTCGCGAAAACCGGCACAAGTCATGCAACAAAACGAGGAGAGAGAGAGAGACATGATTAGTGGAGAGAGAGAGAAAAAGAGAGAATGTGAACAACACGGAAAGTACACCCACGCCTGGCCCTCGGAGTGAGGTCATTTCTCCGCTGCTTCCCCTTGGCCCACTGGGGGCCCCGCTCAGGCCCACGCTGCCAACCCTGCAGCCGGATCCGGGCAGAACCGCCTTCAGCCCCACACCCTGCGTGGCCAACTGTCCCAATCCCGTCACCCTCCCTGCCCCACAGACGGATGAGCACCACTCCCCCGGCAGCTGCCACAGCCCAGCGGGCAGGTGGAGGGGCCGGCGGAGGGGCATGTGGACCTCTGTCCCACCAAAGATGACCCGGAGGCTGCTGTGGTAGCTCCCGGGGGGCCCAGGCATGAGCCTGTCTCCCCCCACCCCACTTCAGCCCTGCTCTCCTACAGGGACCCTGTAGCCCTGGACGCGGCACCACAGAGGACCGACCCACATCACGGGGGGCAGAGAAGGACGAGACACACGTGGATGGACGTGGCAGGACAGGGGCACACTCGGAGCCCGAGGTAGGGACAGAGCCCCTGTCTGGGACAGGAGAAGTTTCTCCCAGACTATAAGTCCCAGGCAGCCCCCTGTGCTGGGTGCCCTCCTGGCACCTCCTATGAGGCCTGCCACCAGGTGACAACTGAACCTTTGACAGCCCTTGGGACGAGACCTCTGAACACTGAGGCCACGCCAGCCCTGGCACGTCCTTGGGACAGACACAAACTGAGGCGTCAGGAGAGACCACGAGGTCTGAGGAGCTGAGAGGAGGGTGGAGGCCTTGTGTCAGTGGGGGTGGGGGGCCTGGGCAGGGCGAGATGCCCTGAGTCCCGCGTCCTGCACTTGGCCTCGGACTCAGGTTTCAGAAGTGGGATGGGAGGACCCCAGGTTTTGGTGAGGCCACCTGACTGCCCCTGGGCGTGGAACAGGCTAGAAAGGCCTTGGGGGACTGCATCTGACCCCCCGCAATTCCCGCAGGGCCTGGCCTCCACCTACCGTTTGCCCTCCTCTCTGCTGGCCTCCCCCTCTCTCACACACTCACCCCCAGCCCATGCTCACTGGGCACACAGCTGCAAGCAGGAAAGAAGGTGAATGGGAAGGGACTCGGGGTACAGAGATGGGTGGGGACACCCTCTCAGGGCCACATCCCCTCTTAGTGGTAGATGATCCAGGTCTCACATACCAGCTTTTGGGAGAGAGTGTTCTGGCAAGGGGTGAGGCTCAGAGCTGAGCAAAGGCTTCAGGACTTCTGGATAGCACCTCCACCACCAATAACAAAGGAACTGAGTGCTTGGGAAGGGAGGGAGGGTGCAGGGTTGGGGTGGGGAGGGTCCGGGCATCCACGCTCCAGGGGGGTATGGAATGCTCTCTTTTGCCTGCAAAGCAAAGCTCTCTGGTCCCTGAAACCTGGAGCCAGAGCAAAGCTGCCCCCAGGGGTACGGCTGCCAGGGCTGAGGTGGGCTGTGGAGCCAAGGGGACTTCCGGGGGTTATGGGAAGCGGGGTACTGTCTCTGGGACTAGCTGGTGTGCACGTCTGAGCACACACATCTACACTCATGTGTGTGTGTGTCTGCATGTGTGTACACACCGCCTCAGCACCTGGATAATCCTGTCACTGGGAGGACAGAGGAGTCTGCCTGGAGTGAACTGGGGATCCTTGATGGGCTGACCTGGGGCACCCAGGGTTGGGGTACCAATCCTGAAAGATCGTGTTGGGGGGATTCAGTGGAAGGGTCAATAGTGCAGGGTGATGCCACTCAGGCAGGTCCACAGTCCAGGCCTTCCCCAGGAGCTCAGGAACTTTTCTTACCCTGATGGTAGCTGTTGTGCTCAAATGGCTAGCTAACCCAAAGCAGAGTGTGTGTGTGTGGGGGGGGGCAGGCTTTGCACAGACGCAGGCCTGACCCACTGGGCCAGAACCTCGCCTACCTCGGGGTGCTTGCTTCAGCCTCTGAGAGCCCTGCCCACTCCTAGCCCAGCCCAAGACGCTGGCCACGTTTCTCTTGGGTGCCTACAGGAGTCCCAGGAAGGGGAGAGTGTGGGGCGGGGCAAAGGGGCTGGACAGTCCCTTGTGGGCAGAGAAGCAGGGGCCTTGGGCCTGGCCAGCCTAGCTGGGAGATGAAGCCAGAAGAGGGTGAGGAGGGGGTGCTGGGTCACAGAGCACATTAGCAGGAGGAAAATCAATCATCCACGGGGGGGGAGGCCACTCGGACCAGGGCAAGTGTCCTACCTGGGGCCGAGCTAGCCTGCAGCCCCTGCCAGACCTGGGCAGAGGACCCCCTTTGCAGACTACACACTACCTAAGCTCTCACGCCAACCTCACGCTTTCCTGGTATCCGCCTCAGCTCAGCGTCGCCATTCTTCTCTGGGTCATCCTTTCCTTTGAATCCCTGTGTCCACAGAATAAGTCGATGGTATTCCATGGGTAGAGGTAGACTATGGGCTTTATATCTTCCGACCAGAGCCCCGTGATCAACTTTATGTGCTATGTGCAGGTTCTCATAAAACTGAGAGTCCCATAACGAACCACTAGCCATGGAATATGAGAATATATCCCACGGTGACTAGTATTGTGTCACGGCCCCCCACCCTTCTCCCCGCCCCCAGTGAATCCTCGGGAAAGTGGGTGTGCACTGGTTGGGGTATCTTGTATTGCTGCTGCAGTCCCTGCTGGCCATGGGGAAGACCCTCGGTGGGAGGTGGTTGCTGGTAGCGCTTTCATCTAAGCTGCCTGGGGTGGTGGCCCCTCTAGTCCTTTGCTCACCAGCCGCTTCCATCAGAAGGTCACCGGAAACTCCTACTCAACCATCGATCAAACAGACAACGTGAAAGCTAGATCACTCCAAGAGGTTCCTAAAGATAAACGCTAAACTCTAGGTGGTGGTAGATGAGTTGGTTGCATGCTATGGGGAAGTAAGCTTGTCACGGAGGGCTAGAGGCGTCTCCTGGGAAGGACCAGGCCCTGGGCAGCCGGCCTCAGAGCAGGGATGGTACTCGGCTATGGAGACGGGCTCTGCTGGGGGTGAGAATCCTTGCGACTGCCTTTGCAGGGACCCTCCTGCCCGATCCCATGCACCGTTTCTGCCATCTACACAGCCTGCAGAAGGGAGCTGCGTTAAGGACCCAATCAAAAGCTGTCTGCATTTCCAAGTCACACCTGCCCCCACCGCACCCCAGCACTGGGTCATCGCCTGAGTCAGAGACTCACGCTGGACTCCAGCCCACCTGAGCAGCAGCCCCCTGGGCTCCTGCTAAGATAGTCCTCAGCGACCTCGCGGCCGAGTCATCTCTTCAGAGCATCTCGAGACCAACCGCGTCAACCTCCTTACCCGGGGCCACCAGTGAGGTTCCTGTAGCAGCCTCTTGCCTGCTGGTTGTGGCTGCCAGCATCTCCCTGGGCCCCCAGGCTCCCCAGCTCAAGGCTGAGTGCGGGTCCGGGGTCGCCCGCGGAACTAAGGAAGCAGTCTGACTGAATCTGGAATCATCGCTACAGGACGGAGGTGAAAGGTCAGATCGACATGCCTCTAAGAGGTTTCCTACCTGCTCTGTTAATTTCTAAAATTTCTTCCTGGGCCAGCGGACATGTGTCACTCTGAGTACTGTGGTGTGGAGAGTTTACGACAGATTTACAATAATTGGGAGATCCCAGCTGCGGTGGCCGTGGAATATGCTTCTTTTTTTTCTTTGGTAGTTTCTGCTTAGCCATGGCTAAGGAGTAGTACATCCCGAAATTGTTCACGATGACAGGCACGGGCATGGCGATGGTCAGCACGCCCGCCAGCGCGCACAGGGCTCCCACCAACATGCCGGACCAGGTCTGCGGGTACATGTCTCCATAGCCCAGCGTTGTCATGGTGACCACGGCCCACCAGAAGCCAATGGGGATGTTCTTAAAGTGCGTGTGCTCGCTGGCGCTGGGGTCGTTGGGCTGCGCCCCGATCCTCTCGGCGTAGTAGATCATGGTGGCGAAGATGAGCACCCCCAGGGCCAGGAAGATGATGAGCAGCAGGAACTCGTTGGTGCTGGCGCGGAGCGTGTGGCCCAGGACCCGCAGGCCCACGAAGTGGCGGGTCAGCTTGAAGATGCGCAGGATGCGCACGAAACGGACCACGCGCAGGAAGCCCAGGACGTCCTTGGCCGCCTTGGAGGACAGGCCGCTCAGCCCCACCTCCAGGTAGAAGGGCAGGATGGCCACGAAGTCAATGATGTTGAGCGAGTTCTTGATGAACTCCACCTTGTTGGGGCAGAAGACCACACGCATGAGGAACTCGAAGGTGAACCAGACCACGCAGACGCCCTCGATGTAGGTGAGGAAGGCCTCCGTCTCCGCTTCCCGGTAGTAGCGCACTTGCGTGCCATTCCGAACATTCTCGATCTCTGTCTTGTTCACGATGGGGTTGAAGCGTTCGTGGGTCTCCAGGCAGAAGGTGGTGATGGAGACCAGAATGAAGAAGAGGGAGGCAAAAGCCACGTACTGTGGGGGAGAAACACACCATGTCAGAGGGGAGACCCTCCCGCCCGGTGGAGAAGCCCGGGGCCTCTGCATTGGGTCAGAGCCAGGCCTGTGCAGGCCCCTCAGCACCACCTGAGCTGCTGTGCCACAGCTCCCTCCTCGGGGCAGAAGGGACGTGACTACAGCCAGGTCCATCCTGAAGCCCTCCTGCTCAGTCTTCCCTGTGCTCGCTTCCCTCGCTGCCAGTCAGACGTGGAAGCCCTAGAGGCCAGCAGAGCCACTGGAGGGAAGGAGCCTGGGTCTCTGAAGGGAAAGACGTCCACTAACTGTCTCATTGTCCCCGAGTGGGAAATAAACCTCTAGCGGGTTGTCACTGCGATTTGGAGGTGCTATGTTAAAGCACTTAGCTACCCTGACTCGTGAAAGAGACTGAGGAGCACACTGCTCAAACACTACATGCAGCCGGCTGGGACCACATGGGGGGCCTGGGTCAGTTCCCAGTCTGACCTAGAGGTCGGAGCAGCAGCGCGTGCCTGTGATCCATGACTCAGAAGGCCAAGGCAGGATAGGAAGCCCAAGTCTAGCCAGGGGAACAAAATGTGACCCTGTCCGAAAGAGAACTGGACTTAGCGGCGTGCCTGCCATTGCAGCTGGAGACGGGAAGATTGCCACAGGGCGAGACCCCATCTTTCAGAAAGAAAACTGACCAAGCCTGCTGGGGCCAAAGTCGGTGAAGAAGTGAGAGGAGGCGGCTCTTGTGGGATCCGGCTCCTCGAAGGTCACTCTTCCCATCCTCCTCCCTCAGACCACAGTCTGTGCACTTTGAGCACCGAGGTCCCCCCAGGCCAGCAACAGGAGGCGCCGTGCTGCTGCTAGCTGGCAAAGGCTTGGTTTGCACTGATGCCTCCCTTGGCCCTGGAGGAGAGCCCTGGAAGTCCCAGAGCAGCCCCATTGGGGCTGCCCGTGGCCGCAGGGCCCAGCACCCACCCCAGCAGGGATTTGGGAACCAAGAGCTATGTGGACATTTCAGACCACATTCTAGGAGAAGAGAGAAGATGAGACAGTCCACATTTCAGAACCGCAGAGGAAAAGCAGCCTTCGAAGATGATGGGCCAGGATCCCACATGCTACGGGGAGTGGGGGGAAGCCTGAGGCCCGAGAACAGGAGATCTGCCCAAGCTACTACTCACAGGGAGCAATGCTGCTGGGTTTAGAGCATAGTGCGATTTTCAGAAAACTTTCTCTCAGGCTACCATCGAATGCCATTCGAATACATCCCTCCTTCCCCCCTCCCATCCCTCCTTCCACCCTCCCATCCCTCCTTTCACTCATCCAGCCTCCTCCTTCCTTCCCGCTTCCTTCTTTCCTCTCTCCCTCCCTCCTTCTTCCATCCGTATGTCCATTCATATTTCTTCCCTCCCTCCTTCATTCTCTGTTCCTTCCTCCCTTCCTTCCCTCCCTCCCTTCTCTCAGCATTCCTCTTCCCTTCCCTCCTTTTCTCCGACCCACCAATCCACCCACCCATCCTCTCATCCACCCATCACTTGTTCTTCCATCCCTCACAGGCACCCGGTGATGCCCAGTGCAGAGCAGCAGAAGGCCTGGCCCAGCTCTCAGGAGTTCCCTGCTAGCTCAGGGTACAGGACTCACGAAGAGACAGGATGGATGCAGGGACCTAAAAGGCGAGCCCTCGGCCCCAGGACACAGGTGGGGCTGGGAAAGGTGAGAGTGATGTGCACACCCCTGAGAGGGGCAGGGTCCAGACTTAGAACCAGGCCTTCCAACTCCAGAAGTTCTTCTTGCAAGTCCAGATAGCTCAAGTGTAGGGCACCACAAAGAGAGGCCATTCCCGGCCACCCAAGTTCATCTGGCGCCAGAGCTCTGGTCATCCAAAGCTCTCAGCGCTCTGAGCACACCCCCAACCACCGGGAACTGGCTCCAGATTCCCTCTGGGGGATTCCATCTAGGAGCTTGATGTTCACTGCCTAGCTCCCTAAGGCAGGTCATGCGCACCCCAGCTGCATGCCCTGCCCTGGCCTTCGGGTAGGAGCAGGGGTAGCATGCCTGCTGTAAGTGCCTAAGGGATGGCATGAGGCAGGGCCCAGGCAACCTGGGCTGGTCCTGGACCACAGGGGAGGTGGGAGACCTCCTCGCTGCTCCTCAGTCAGGATACCCCCCTCATGTCCTCTGCTCATAAATGACTCTCTCCCACAGGGCTACTGTCAAATAGGCTGTAGTTTCCCTCTTAGCTGCCAGCCCACCCTCCACATGGCTAGGAGGAAGTTGCCCGCAGAATCTCAGCCCTGCCATGCTGCCCAGAGGACCCAGGCCCTCAGCCTGGCACGTGACACTCTCCGTCCCAATCTGACTTCCTGGGGGCTTCTCCCCATACACACCCGACATTCTTGCCACAGGCACCTCTGCCATTTCTAACCACAGAGCGCCCCCCCTGCCCCAGGCTGTGGCTTTGCACCTGCTGTTCCTTCCCCTGGAGAGGAACAGAGCCGATCTCTGGGAAAGCCTCGCTCTTCGCCCTTCCCCTGCGGTGCAGATCCGCTTGGCGGCTGTGGCCCTGAAGACGCAGCACAAGAAGGGACTCCCCAGGGAGTCTCTAAATTCACCCCTGGGGAGGTAGCAAACTGGTCTCCAGCTCTGGCTCTTTAGTGCTGGGAGAGGCTCATGGGAGCCCGAAACACTGATGTTCCCGGAGCCTCCTGATTCCCAGGTCTTCAAAGCTCTCGTCTCATTGCCCCTTGCAGAACAGGTCCTCATGGGAAACTGAGGCCCAGGAAGAGGTCAGGCCTTATAAGATTAGGGTAGAAAAACCCTTGGCTCTCAGGGGCCAACACACAGCCGGCCTAGAATCTTTCTTCTTTGGACCCCAAGGTCCAAGGTGTGGGGAGTGGGAGGTGGGGACCCCGACAGTGACTTCTTTTCCAGGGAGCCAAGGGAGTTAGAAGGGCCTCTGCCCGGCCCTGCCCTGCTCTCTGGGTATCTGCCTTCCTGCCCTCTGCCACCTGTCACAGGCAGAGGCCCAGCAACACCAGGGTCCGAGGGGACCCTCAGCAGGCCATGAAGGAAGGTGCCCCTGGATTGCTCAGATCCTGACATTTTCCTAAGCCTAGAGGCTAGTAAGAGATCAGCCACAGGGCAGAGTCAAGTCCCCAGCTTCCTCTGTCCGTCCTCCAGGCGAGCCGAGCAGCAGAGAGGAAGAAGCCACCAAGGCTTTTGGACCTATTAATCTAGCCTGGGTAGACAGGCGGCCACATCCCCGTTGTTAAGGAGAAAACCTGAGTACGGGGTGGTGGGGGACGAAGCCAAAGACGTAAAGCTAGGGAAGAAGCTCGGGCTTGGACCCAAGTTTATGAAACTCGGGAGTCCAAGCTTTTCTACCACCAGAGTCACCAAAATTCTTGGGGACAAAAAGAGCTGGGCAGCTGGCCCGTGACTGTGTCTGGATGGGTTGCTCTGGAACTTGGCACCCATGGCTCAGATGCTAGGCCTGCCCCCTCACCAGTAATGCAGAGGGCAGGGGTACCCAGATCCGATCTACAGGTCAGTTACCCTGGGCCTCATTACCCAGGCTTGCAAACACAAGACCCCACCTTATACAGGGACTCAGTGACGCCCCGGCGGGTGTCCCCACCTGGCTGGCCTGTTCTCACCCCACCCAGGGAGGAGACCTCAGCTTATGAAGGGAGCTACACCAGAGGGAGGTTGAGGGGAGAAGGGCTGGGTAGTTCCGGGATCAGTTGGCCCCTGGAAGGGAGAGAACTTCCTGATTGGCCCAGGCAGCAAGGCTCCAAGCAGCGTCCACAGCAACCTCAGGCTGTCACCCCAGGGCTGGGGGAGTCACAGGCAAGGGCAGGGAGCAGCACCCCACATGAGCTGAGAAATTGGACAGTCACCCCAGACCACAGACATGACCTAGAGCACCGCTTCACTCATCACCAAGGGCAGGCACGTACACAGGCACACGGAGGACGACACAGTGCCGGCCACACTGCACAGACATGGGGCGCCGTGCAGAGCTCACCACGTGCGCAGGCACACGGACGACGACACGGCGCCGGCCACACTGCACAGACGTGGGGCGCCATGCAGAGCTCACTGAGACCGTCACCCACGACCGCAGGCACCAGGGGCTGTGCTGCAGGCACGCACACGCCTTGTGCACACACGCTCGGTGGTGTGCGGGGTCACTACGCAGCATACCCACCGTGAACACACGGCGGCCCCAGGTGCTGCTGCCCTCCAGCCCTCCTCTGCCCAATGCCCCCAAACGGGGTAGCAACTGACTCAGTGTCTCTCTGCCCCAGGACAGGCAGCTGCAGTCACCTGACCTGTACCTCTACTCTCAAGTCTGCCTGCTCAGGTGGTGCTGGCTCCTGGATCCCATCCCTGGGCCCTGGCCCTCACCCACAGGCTCCCGGACTCCCTGCCCCTGTCAGGCCTTGTCTCCTTTTTCCGCCCAACCTGAGCTGGTGAGCCCCACCATCTAGGGTCCAGGCCATCTGTGAGGCCAGTCCCTCCTGGGCTGCTAGTCTGAATGGGGATACCAAGTGGGCTCAGCTAGGTGGCCTGGGGGCACCTGTCACCCACCCTGGGCCCCTCGGGAGCCACCTATAAAATTTCAAGGCAACGCAGGCAAGATCACCTGACGATGTGGCATAAACCCAAGCTGGTAGTTTCTAGCTTTTTTTTTTTTTCTTCCCAGAACCAAATCACAAACCGTGAGAGACCCACCAATTGTGTTCTAGAAAGTGGTAGCCATGGCAACGGAGCAAGGCATCCCATTTCTATGGTAACCAGGGTAGTGAGGCTGTTGGCTGTAAAGTCAGACAAACCTACTAACGATCTGTTGACTTAAGAAGATGTTTTATAAATCACTGAGTTATTTTTATCACAACCCCACCCCTGGAACCATAAATCAGAAAGGCAATTTACTATCTATTAAAATGACCAATATGTGCTATGACTTTCATTTATGAATTATTTATGCCACAGTCATCTTTAGAAAT